GTGAAGGCGAAAGCATGGCTCTTTTCCGCATTCCAAAGCTCCAAAGTTCGCAGTTCCGGCATCTTACGTGCGAGTTTTGCAGCTGTCTCAAGCATCTGTGTTATGCGCCCTTCATTTCCGATGTTGAAACTTGGCGATGTAAGTGCTAGGGTTTCAAGCTTCAGCCAGTGCAAGGCAGGCTGGCCTTCAGCGATGACTAAGAATTTGAAGGCGTCCACAACGTAAGACAAGCGCAGTTGCTCCAGTTTACAGGTTCTCATAGCGAGACGGTGAATCAGCTCGTCGGAAAGCGCTTCGTAAGGTCGAGTTGCGAGTGACGGCTTGATGTCTCCGAATGCCACCAGCTTCTTTAGCTCACTAGAATTACATAGTGCGGAGAGTACCCTAAAAAACACTGCCTCACTCTTTAGCTCCAGAACACCGCAAGAAATGGCAAAAAAAGAGAGGAAGAGAGAAGGGGACGAAGGAAAGCGGTGTAGTAGGCTTACCTGACGTTGATTGGAGATGATCAACGTTTAAACGCACCCTCCAGAGCTCCTGGTGTAAACATTCGAGATTGGGGAGTGCCTGAACCATATTATCCCACAATTTTACGGACAGAATTCGGCGAGTCTGTCTGCGAGCGAGAAGATGGTGCACCACGTCTACTGTGGGAAAGCTTTCCTCGATACAGACGAGGTCGTACAACATTATGTTCGACCACAGTGAAGGAATCGCTGTTCGACTACAACTGACCCATCCAGGCATCGGATTGTGCGATGGTACTTGGTATCCGATTGACGAGAGTTCCGGAGCTTGAGTAAATGATGAATCAATCCCATAGTTCTGAAAGCGGTAATGAAAATCACTCGGGGAGTGAAGGCCAATCTCAAGAGTTAGTCCGTCATTATCAGTGCCACGCGACCAATTTTTCAAGATCGAGAAAATCCCATGCAAAGCTTGTTGAGTAATTTCAAGATCTTTGTTAGATCTTTACCAGTATCTTATCCAGTGATAGAAGTTGCCGTCACTAGAATTATGACAGCAATCGCAAGCGTAAGTCGCCAGCTCGATTTGAAACCAGACGTGGCGGACAAGCCGTCTTTGCCGCAGAACCATGTTCCCGAGTTGCTGATGCATGCGTTTCGGGATCACCGTGAGCCTTTGGAAATGTTCCTTCTCGAAAAAGGCCTGCCAATCTCGGTTGACACACGCATACCTAAGGAGACAGCGATCGGGCTGCTGAGGTTGGCGAGCGTACTGCTGAACCAACGTTTTGAAGACGTTATGCCACAATTCGACCGGAAGTCGGGAGCTGCTTGTTGAGTCCATGGCGATGAGTTGAACTTGAGCAAATTGCGGGTGTAGCCGACGTTCCCAGTTTGTAGATGTTTGAGTTGGACTGTAGGAACCGAAAGCTGCAGGAATAGAGAGAAGTTGAGTCGATATAATAAATCATGTGAATAGGAGGGGAGCTTGTATCATTCTTTTGGAAAGTTAAGTTTTCTAAAGAACTGCCATTGGAAATCCGAAAGACTTTTGCGGCACCCCATACATGTTCTTCCCCATGACCAACACAGGGTTAGACTGAAAATCAGGAGCCACAGAGGTGACACCACTGACCCTCTTTAGTAAGTTCAAACCCGCTATCGAGCTTCAACTAGCTGTCCTGAAGGTGGCCGAAGCTGGGCGAAGCTGGGCATGGAGCATTCGTGAAGTATTCTGAAATGAGAACGAAACCTCAAGACCAAGCCATATACCTACCCAGGTAAAAGTAGGTGAACCTTCTAACCCGTATATCAATCGTGAGTCTGCTCTTCGTGTCGTGGTCCTGGGAATCCGTGATCTCTTATGGCGTTTGACCACCCCCAAAGTCACATACACATCTCTGCAGCTAAGCACTGAATCAGGTAGATACTATGCCAAAACAAGACGCCCTTGATTGCGTAGCTGACATCACGAGGTTACCCTGACAATGCTCAGCTCATGATCATGACCGTAGCTTGCAGCGAGCTTTTTCCAGTCTACAGGAATCAGTTGCCATGGCCCCTTGGGATGGCCCTTACAGCACGCCACTCCCTCATGAAAATCGCACCAGAAGTCGCGATGGATAGGATCGACAAAGAGTTCCGCCGTCTCCAGATCTGGGTCTGCAAGTAACCGCAGCAAGGCCTTGAAAGGCTTCGACTGGGTGAAGGCGTCATCTCGCCTCGTCATCGCCGCCCGCCGCCCTTGGGTGTCGACGGCATCATGGCTGAGGACCACCTTGTCGGTGCTCGTCGGATACAGCACGAGCTTGAGGTGGCGCAGCGAGCCGTTGAGAATCATGTCTGCCACGGCCGGGGAGATATGGCTCTGGAATACATTTCCCAGGCGGCCGGGCGAGAGCTCCAGGTACTTGACGCGGCGTCGAGCTCTAGTGTTGCCCAGGAGCCACGGCGTGCCGTCACATATTGCGCGCTCGAGAGCGGCGCGGGGCCGGCCGCGGAGGTTGAGGATGAAACGGTTCTGTTCGTAGAAGATTGCGGAGCCGGCAGCGTAAAGAAGTGGGTGGGAAAGCAGCAGGTCGTGCGGGAAGGGTATCTCTGCGTCGATTGTCGGTCCTACCTGGATCGGGTTCGGGAGGAGGCAGAGGTATGAGATGATTTGGTCACGGATCTCCTGGGGGAGGTCGAAGAACTTGTCAAAGACGCGGGTAGCCATCGCAGTGGAGATTGACGGGCATGTGCCGAATCAGCCCGGACGAGGCGTGGAGTATGATGGACCGTCGTGTTAGATGAGAGGCTGCTCCTGGTAGCTCTCCGCTGTTCAGGCGTGATGAGCCGGCGATCGGTTGGTTGAGAGACAATGAAAATGGAGGAGTGACGGCTAGAATAGAGGGGGGTGGGTGAGGGGTGTTACCTAATTGATGTCTGTGAGCCCCACAGTGGCAAGCCTACTCCGCGCTGGGCCCCTTCCCCTTGTTAGTTTTATTTCAACTTCATCTCTACGACTATTCTAATGATGGAAACTTTTCTGGGTTGGCAGATTTTGAGAGCACAAAGATTAACAATTCATTCTAGCTAGCTGCCTTGCTCTCATTCAAGACTGTCACTCAGAAACAAACCTAGTAACACCTTCTAGTATTACCGCAGGCTGGAGCAGCGAACGACTGCAACAAACCCGTTCGGAGACTTTGAGGTTGCATTCAAGTACCGATTCGAAGACAAACAGTCAGCTTGTCGTTCGTGACTATTTACCAAGATGAAAATGTCGCAAGGTTCGCAAACTCTTAGACACGTCACGGTGAAGCCCATGTCGCTAGGGAAACTTGCTCTCCTCTACTTACAAGAAAACGCAAATACAACTTCGGGCCCGTCGCAAGTATTCCCAAAGTTATTCATGTTGAGACTCGACTACTAAATTACTATTCGAAATAAGACATATAGCTGTCGATCTAAGAAACGCAGTGAAGTCTGTCCCCGCCTGTCTTCCCCGTCATCCGCCACCGCTGGCATCCAATCTCGTGCATGCAATGTCAATAACGTTTGAAAGCGCACAACCCCAAAATTGACAGGCAACGTTTTTGTTGCACACCGGATCAGAGCGGTTGCTCACACGCCCGGCATTCCTGCGGCTTCCGGACTCCGGCACGGGTCCGGCCCACCAAGCGGGCCAGCACTCCGTGACCCACGCTTGAGCCCTGACGACCACGATCCCATGCGTCTTGCCCCTCCCTCAAGGCAATCTTGTCCTCACGATCTCCACAATGATTTAACTGGTCTGGTGGTGTAGTTGGTTATCACGTTAGTCTCACACACTAAAGGTCTCCGGTTCAAGTCCGGGCCAGATCAAATGTTTTGTTTTTGGGTGTTGAGTCACTTGTAAGAATGACCTGTGACTCTTTTGGAGATGTTGCATTTGAAGTGATCAGGTTCAGGCCGGCTCTGAACTCTGAGTCCGGGCATTGTCTCGTTTAACCGCTTGTATGGGGTTCAGAAACGTAAATACCCAAGAGGTTAGCTGTTAATGACATTGGCGAAAACCACCCCAACTGGATGCTGTAGTTTCCGATTTGATTTCAGTTTTCAACTCAAACAAGGCCCGGCCATAATTCAGGGAAACAAGCGGCCTGGAAATAATGCCGCTTGGTCTTCGTCTGTGTTTCGCAGATCTGTGAACAGCGAGTCTTACGGTAGACAGACAGTTCGGAGGAGATTTGCTGTTCACAACTCTGTAAAAGCCATGGATGCCTCTGATCATGAAGATAGACTGACATGAGCCCTCGGAGGCAGTATGAGTGTGAGTATCCAACGTGACAGTAACTTGTTCCTTCCTACTGGTGTTAGGACACTGAAGAAATGACGAGGAGATTCCTTTTGTGAGACATTGGGACCGGGTCGGCCATAGTTCTGGCCTCGTTATCATTCCTGTTTCTATCCTCTGTCTCCATCCTCTGTCTCCATCCTCTGTCTCCGTCCTCTGTCTCCGTCCTCTGTCTCCGTCTCTGGGCCTCATGCTTCGTGTCCACTCCAGCCCAGACTGCGGCTTGCCCGTCGTCTCGATACCCTCGGGCTGCAAGGACATGAAGTGCATATCGGAGCCACCCGAGAGCGGGAACGACAACAACGACAACAACGACAACAACGACGACAAGAGCAACAGTAACGACATCACTCTCAAAAACATCACGCGAAAATGAAGATTCTTAAAAGTAACGTAGACGTAATTTCATTTCATGTCGCCCTGATCCTTTCTACAGTGTCTATGAAAGCCGTAGAAGACGGCACCCGGAAAGCATTCCCTCTCTCCCGAGAGGCATGCCATGTGTCGTGAGTGTGTGAGAGATGGTGTGGAGGTATAAGAGGGAGGAAGGCGGCTGGAAGAAAGAGGAACTTTTAAGTACCTTTTGATATCACCTGACCCAAATTATTCGCATCCTGGCCTGATTCTGTTGGGCCACCCAAACGCAAGAAAGTTGAACCAGATAAGCAACCCTTCGCCAGGCCCGAAGGCCATTTTTAGTTTTCATTTAAAACCCTTTAGCGGGAAGACATGGCCTTAGTCACGAGACGCTTGAGGGCGAGCTCCTGCTTCTTGAGGTCCTCGGCGGCAGAGTCGGTGATCTCAAGGGCAGCCATGGCCTCGGAGACCTGCTGCTCAATCTTGTCCTTCTGGCCACGCTTGAGCTTGAGGGACAGGGTGGGGTCGGAGATGATCTCCTCAACACGGCCAATGTAAGACTCAAGCTGCTGCTTGGCCTCGAAGCGCTTGCTGAAGGCCTCGTCGTTGGTCTTGAACTTCTCGGCGTCTGTGATACTCGTTAGCAAAGTCATTGATCACTGTGGTTGCAGGCTGAACATACCGCTGATCATGTTCTCAATCTCGTGGGAAGAGAGCTTGCCAACAGAGTTGGAGATGGTGATGTTGGCGCTGCGGCCGGAGGTCTTCTCAGTGGCGGTGACCTTGAGGATACCGTTGACGTCGACCTCGAAGACGACCTCAAGGACGGCCTCACCAGCCCTCATGGGAGGGATAGGAGCAAGGGTGAATTCACCCAGGGAGGTGTTGTCCTCGCAGTTGACACGCTCACCCTGGTAAACGGGGAACTGAACGGTCTGCTGGTTGTCGGCAACAGTGGTGAAGGTCCTGTGAGTGGATGTTAGCCAGATTTGAGACGAAAGAGAAAAGGATGACGAATCTTTTTAATCGTGGGTACAGTGTTTCCGCGGGGAACAACGGGGGCGAAGATGTTGCCCTCCATGGCGACACCGAGGGACAGGGGGACGACGTCGAGGAGGAGAAGGTCGGCGGTCTCGGCGGAGGTGGCCTTGCCGGAGAGGATACCGGCCTGGACGGCGGCACCGTAGGCGACAGCCTCGTCGGGGTTGATGCTCTTCTCGAGCTTCTTGCCGTCGAAGAACTCGGACAGGAGCTTCTGGATACGGGGAATACGGGTAGAGCCACCAACGAGGACGATCTCGTCAACGCCGGACTTCTCAATGGCAGCATCCTTGAGAACCTGGGCAACAGGCTCAATGGTGCCGTTGAAGGCCTTGGCGTTCAGCTCCTCGAAACGAGCACGGGTGATCTGGGTGGTGAAGTCCTCGCCATCGAAGAGAGAGTCAATCTCGATGGTGGTCTGGGCACCGGAAGAAAGGGTACGCTTGGCACGCTCGCAAGCAGTACGGAGACGACGGAGGGCACGGGCGTCGCCGGAGAGGTCCTTCTTGGTCTTGCGCTGGAAGTCCTTCTTGCAGTGCTCGAGCAGGTTGGTGTCGAAGTCCTGGCCACCCAAGTGGGTGTCACCAGCGGTAGCCTTGACGGTGAAGACACCGCCCTGGATGTTCAGGAGGGAGACATCGAAAGTACCACCACCCAAGTCGTAGATGAGGACGTTGCGCTCCTTGCCGGACTTGCCAGCACCAAGACCGTAGGCAATGGCGGCAGCAGTGGGCTCGTTGATGATACGGAGGACGTTCAGGCCAGCAATGGCACCGGCGTCCTTGGTAGCCTGACGCTGGTTGTCGTTGAAGTAGGCAGGGACGGTAATAACGGCCTTCTCGACCTTCTTGCCGATCTTGGTCTCGGCAATCTCCTTCATCTGTTTGGGGTGTTAACATGTTGCGTCGCACAAACTTGGCGCCCGGCGTACAAGCTGAGCAGCAGAATAAACGTACCTTGAGGAGAACCATCGAGGAGATCTCCTGGGGAGAGAAGGTCTTGGTCTCGCCGAGGTAGTCGACGGAAACCTTGGGGCTGCCGTTGTCGTCAACGACCTTGAAGGGCCAGGACTCCATGTCCTTCTTGACGGTGGGGTCATCAAAGCGGCGACCGATAAGACGCCTGTGAAGAAACGGCTAGTCAGCAAAGTGTTTGGTGATGGAAATTTTTTCGGCTCCTTCTGGTTTACCCCTCCTTGGGCGGGGAATTTTCCCGTAGGCCCAGAGAGAGGCATCAGAGCAGCGAAAGAGACAGGCGCGGCTACTCACTTGACATCGAAGACGGTGTTGATGGGGTTCATAGCAGCCTGGTTCTTGGCAGCCTCACCGATCAGACGCTCCTTGTCGGTGAAGGAGACGAAAGAAGGGGTGGTGAAAGAACCCTGCTCGTTGGCAATGATCTCGACATTGGTACCCTCGTACGTCGCAACGCAGGAGTAGGTGGTTCCTTTAATGAGAAAGACACAATGTTAGCCTTTCTGGTTTCTGCGCTGTGTAGATGGTGTTTGCCCGTGGGCGCTGAATGGTGATGGGATTTTTTTGGCTGATGTGTGATGGTTTGTGGTGGCGATGATTGGTGATATTTCTTCACCCCGCAAAGAGGGCCGACAAGAAGGGCATCGTAACGATGAGGAGGGGTTGCGCAACTTACCCAAGTCGATGCCAATGGCACCATCGTAGACCTCGTCCGCCATTTTGAAGAATTTGGGATATTGCACAAGACAAAGTCGACCTGTGTGAGGGGTGGAGGAGGGAAGGTAAGGTTGGAGGATTGCGCGGAGGAGGAAGATATGTGAAAGAGGGCGGGCGGGCGACGTGGGGTCCTTTCAAAAGAATTTCTCTCTCGCACTCAACACAACCGAACAGAGATTTTGTCAAGGCCGGCAAAAAATAAATTTCGACTTTTTTTTTCTGGGCCGGAGCCCCACCAACCCCCCCTCTAGCGTGAGACCGGCCTAGCGCAATGCCACAAATTTCGAGGGCGGCGAGGAATTTTTGCCCTTTTTCCCGCCTGGCTTGGTGGGCTTATCTTATCGGACCCCTGTTCACCTTGGTGTTTTTTCTTCCTTTCCCCTCGCTTCGCCCTCAGCTGCCATTGAAGTCGACTTCAGTGTGTAGTTACTAGTAGGAGAGGGAGGCGCACGGCGGCTATTCAATGAGGTGGTGGCTGGGATTGCCATCGTTTGAATTGGCCAGGTTACCTCCAGATATTCGTTTGTTAAAACGGTCACTGGTGCTATTACTGCCTGGCAACGGTAGGTAGGTAGGTAGCGACAGAGTCTCTTCTCTATCAAGAGCTTACATTAGTGACTTCCAGGTGAGTCTCCGTCTGATACCGTGACAATTCGACTGCCTACGAGTCGTCTTCTCATTTCGCCATGGTCCCTTTCTTGCCGCCGCCCAACTCTCGGCCCCGACATTGCTTTTCTCACCGCCTGACTCGGCTTGAGCAAGCAACCCAGATGCCTGGCAGTGGACTTCCGGCCTCCTGTGGCAACACAACAGGAGAGCCCTCCCTCCCAGCGGCAAACCGGTCTCAACTCCTATTCTGTCCCGACTCTGCAACCTGAAGCCCGTCATGCGCATGTCGGGCATCCCGACAGTCGGACCTCGCCCGCAGCGACCCCTCTCTCTTGCTGCCCGGCCCTGTGAGATGTGCCTATGTCCTACGTATCCGTCTGCACGTGGCAGCCATAGTAGACTTAGGTAATATGGAACCTCTCGCTCCCCTCAGGCGTCTTTCAAAGGGTCCTGCCACACTTGGCAATATCCGCTAAACGATTGGCTCTCCTGCGTTGCCCTCGCTGTTCAGACGAACGTTCAGCGCTCCCCAACTCCCCTCGCGACATTCCGTTGACGTTGGCTGAAAGTGGGCTTCGAGAACAATTTGATGCGCATTGATAGGCTAATCTGACCACGGGAATCTCAAATCTGTGCGGCCCTTGTGCTTGAGAGGGGAACTGGTGGATTCGCAAGCGCTTGGACGAGGTTTGCCGATAGTTGTCTAGGGAACACAACCCAACCCTGAAGCCCTGATCCCCCACTACCACGCCCACAACTTTGCTCACCGCTTTGCAACATAACCGACTTGCGACTCGCATTTTGTCACTAGACGATCAGGTCAACTATCAGCGCCGATGGTTTAGTGGTAAAATTCTCCGTTGCCATCCAGCAGCGTCGGGGAGCCGGGGGTTCGATTCCCCCTCGGCGCAACTTTTGCTTTTGCTCCCTCTTTCAAGTTTACCAGAGTTATCCAGTTTATAGATGATAGATGGATGATCCAGGCTGTTCAGGTGGATATAGTGTTATGCGTCTCACTTAAAACACAGGTGATAAAGTAGGCTGTGTGTGTACTATGCATAGTGTATAAGGGTAGAGTGGGAAATCCTTTAGAGCGTTAAACAGTATATATCATGAAGGATTGAGATGGTGTCATAATCGATAGATGGCAGCAGGTGAATCAATATAATCTAACCCAGCTGGATTCTAGCAAACGACCCGAACGCCATCAATCATACAAACCGTAAAAGTCAAGTTGCCGTTGGTGTCTCCTTTTCCGGTATTCCAAACTGCCGCCATAGAGCAGTCAACTGTTGAGAAGTAATCCAGTCGTACTGCTGCCAGACCCGTGCAATGAACTTGTGAATCACAAAGAGTATCCCCAAAAGCCACAAAGCTGCTAGAATGCGCATTACTAACTCGTCGAGGAAACGCCGGAAAGCAAGAGGGCCTGCGCGAAGACGTTTAGCAAGGGATGTTTTGGGTTGCAGAGTCATGGAGTACTCCATCAGAGACCATTTGAATACCTCGTCGTCGGCGTCCGGATCCATCAGCCCGAGATAGTAGACCACACGAGTATCCGCAAGCGTAGTGATGGTATGGCCAACCGCCTCTCCGTCGCACTCGACTGACTTGATAATGTCCAGACGAGGGACGACGCATATCATCACTCTTGCAATCCTAGCTGGCGGTGCGTCTTGAGTATCCGATCCCAAGGTTGAGGGGACGTTTCCGGAGGCCGCAAGAGCGCGCTGGAGCCCTGCTGGACAAAGTTCGATCTGATCAGGACAGTACTGGTCGCCTGGGTGAAGCCATGTGAATTCAAGCACGGAAGAAGCGCGCTGCTTGTGCACTGCGAACCAACAGGCATACGCCAGACAGTTGTGTATCTCCTGGTAGACCGTTTTGATGTCGGGCACGTCCTGGTCGGGTGGCCATGTTCGTCTGACCCAGTTCAGTACTGGAAAGATGAGCGTCAACAGCCTCATGGCCACCTTGTCAACACTCGGCCAAAAGCATTGCGGCATTCCATGAGAATGGCCGAGCATCATCTCCACGAGTGTTGACCTGAGTCTTGAGCGTCGGATGCCTACAAGTGACTTCATTAGCGATTCTGTTCAGTCCAATAATGCGCAAACTTGGCTCACCTCCATCATGACAATAGTCAGAGTCCTGGACATGAAGCTGCTCGGCCTGTTTCTTGGTCGCCCCGAAAAGAAGCTCCGAGAACACCTGCTCTTCAAGGACTAGCATGATGACGGCCCGCATGACGCAGAACCGTTTAGCCTTGCTTGTCATGAGATCCTCCCACGGAGTTGGGTCCATTGGGTCTGGCCGGGCGACCATGCCGACGATACGCTCAAGATGGAACTTTTCGCCATGATATTTGCGGGTTGCTGCCCAGACGGAACCATCTGGAGGAAGATCTCCGCATCTGAAGAGATTTTTGACTAGATGCTTGATATTGGACGCAACAGAAGCATAGTGTTCCGTGAAGAATTGGTCGTCTAGTCTCTGGGATGGTGTGATCCATCGCAAGTCGAGGCGCCCGGGCTCAAAGCCGCGCAGGTCGTCCAGGTTTAAATCTTGCCTCCGAGGCAAAGGTACCAGAGGCGGTATATGCTGGCCACTATTGTTCCTTGGTGGTTTTGAAGCATTCTTGCTTCCTTGTGAGTGTGAGGAAGACATGTCACAAGCGCACCTAGTGAGTTCTGACGTATATCTCGAAAAGATTTTGACAGCAAAACTAACGGGCTGTTAGACTTGAGTGTAGATGTTGATCGTGATACTGATTTGCATATTCGCTTTGGGCGCTAGCCCGAACTTAAGAAGGATAGGCAATAAATCCAGCAACTCAGTCCTGCTCATTGTTTCCGATCTCCTCAATGACGGCCTTCATCACGAGAGCAGTGTTCTTTCTTGTACAGTCGTCTTTGAATGCACAAAAGGCAGAGGACCTCTTTGTGCCCGACTTTAAAACAATTCTCCCCCCATATCGACCGCGTTGAAATGGGAAGCACGATGATCTCTTGGTCAAGTAGCAAGAAGCCGCCGGAAATATCTTCAACAAAGACGGCCATGTTCCTCGCCGCCCTGCATTCTTCAGCCACAGAACACGAACGGAAGCGGAAGAAGAAAACAGTTTGCCCCGGTTTATTCTTTTGAGGGCAGTAAGGGCGGCCTCTCAATATCATTCGACGAACTACGTCCTTGCCCGAGATGGCAACATGAGCCGATGTTGACCTGGGGCAAATCCCCTGAGGCTTGTTTCGACGGGAGTACCCTTCGTGTTTCAGCCGTTGTCTCCGTCGGCTTCTCCACGCAACAGGCGAGTATCTGCCGGAGGTAACAAGGCAAAGTCTCTGGCCAGACTAGAAATGAGGGAAAAACAAGTGAAGTCGAGGCGTATTGCAAGCAAAAGTTGAAAGGGCGGATTGACTCAGGTCGAGCAAAAGTGCATGGATGGATCACCTAGGTTACTTTGGAGCCAGGGAAAAGCTTCTGGAAAAGTTCGGTGCAGCCCGAAGCCAAGAAAGACAACGCTCGCACCCCGAAGACGAAAAAACAAATCTCGAAACAGGGGTGCGTCCTTGAGCGTAGGAAGGGGCAGGAGAAGGGGCTGAAAATGAGTCGGTTCTGGCAAAGTCGCCGTTGAGAAGGTTGCAAGAGCCATGTAGTTGGCAAACAAATCAACAAGACAAGATACCCGGCTGTGCTCCCTCTCTGTATGCTGATTGCATTCTTTCTGTGCGACCTGAGTAATGATAATTTTGCACTGGTGGCATGCGTTGGCCAAGGGGAGGCGAGCGTTGACCACTGCAGGGCTTAAGCCAGACAAAGAGACACGGATTGGATGGCATCAAACTTTGAATTCCAAGTCTCTCCTGGGCAGCACCGCCCTGACAGACGTGACGACCTGGAAGACGGCCCAAGGTCTGGTCCCAGTCAAGACCAGGTTTACGGAAGTTTAAGCAGCCCAGTGGATGCGTGTTGCTCCAATGACCTCGCCTGTCGGATGACAACCTTGCCCGCTAAGAAACTGTGTCGTGTGGTGAGTGGTGACTGGCGAGGAGGTCTATTGCGCATCGCCCTAACAACCCACTGTGTGGGAAGGCCCCGCGGTGTAGGTAGCCCGTGGTGAGTTGCTGACGGAACGAGCGAAGCCTTTTCGCGAGCTGTGGGCTGTGGTGGTGGTAGGTGGGCGGGACCTGGGTAGGTAGGTAGGTACCTTAAGGTAAGGTAGGTGAGATACTTGGGCACCTTGCCTGGCCGTGGGAAACTGCTTCACTCCGACGTACGGCAGGCAGGGCAGGCTCAAGAGCGAGTGCTCTGTCCGAATAGGTACCACACCCGACTTCCCGTCAGTGAGGTCTAAACCCCCCACTTTTTATTCTTCCATTCGGTTGGCCCGCCCGCTTGGGCATTTTTTTGCGACTGAAAGCACCACACTGCTCCAACCGTGACTGCTGAGCGCAATCCTTCGCAAAACCTCATCGCAACTTCCTCGTCCACGAGAACGTCACCTTCCGTTTCTCACCTTAATCACTCACCGAGCCTGCCGATATCCGCTGACGTGCCTGGCGCAACGTCGGAACCCCCGCATACTTGGAAGTAGTCAACTGTGAACCCCCACGGTACCTTCCCAACAGCGAGCACACCGTCCTCACGAGCGGAACCCTCCCACTTTCCTCCTCGAGTCGAAATACCCTCGTCGACCTCGCCCCTCTCCTCTCGCGTCGTCAACCTCCGTCGACATCTCCTCGCACATACTCGCCCGTCCGAGTGATACCCAGCTGTCACAACCTCAACAACATCAACACATCTTCACAATGGCGACCTCCGTGCAAACGCCCACAAACCCCGACCAGCAGGTCGACCTCTCGACCATCCCCATCTCCCCCGAGGGCGCCGAGAAGAGCACCGAGACCAAGGAGAACGATACCGATAAGGACATCACTGTCTTCCACGATAAGGACAACTTCAACGTTAAGCACCCACTTCAGAACAAATGGACTCTCTGGTTCACCAAGCCCCCCAGTGGCAAGGTTCGTACCCTCTCGTTGCAAATGTCGATGAGTTTCACCGCCTAACTTTGGAAATAGGGTGACAACTGGAATGACCTCCTGAAGGAAGTTATCACCTTTAACTCAGTGGAAGAATTCTGGGGTGTCTATGTACGTGCAATCTGCTTCGCTATCCCTCACGACCCCGCCCCCCACTGACAACGTAATGACAGAACAACATCGCTCCCGTCTCCGAGCTGGCCCTCAAGTCCGACTACCACCTTTTCAAGGCTGGTGTCCGCCCTGAGTGGGAGGATGCTCAGAACAAGCACGGTGGCAAGTGGTCTTACCAGTTCAAGGAGAAGCGTGCTGTTCCTATCGATGACCTCTGGCTGCACGTGATGCTGGCTGCCATTGGCGAGACTCTGGAGGGTGAGGATGACGGCGAAGTCATGGGTGTCGTTGTCAATGTGCGCAAGGCTTTCTTCCGTATCGGTGTCTGGACTCGTACTATTGGCAAGAGCATTCCCGGCCGTGGTGACGGAGATGTGGCTGGTGGTAAGGGACGTTCCCAGGATAAGGGCCGTGACATCCTCCTGAACATCGGCCGCCGTTTCAAGGAGATCTTGAACCTGCCCCCCGGTGAGAGCGTTGAGTTCTCCGGCCACACGGACAGCGCACACAGCGGAAGCAGCCGTGCCAAGGCCAAGCACACTGTCTAGACGGACACGAATTCGAACAACACGACACACGACTTTACCCTGCATTTTACCGGACTTGTTGGCTTCCTCCTCCTTCGAGAAGAGGCCAAATGCGTCTACATGATATCACTCCTCGCATTTCTTGAGCCAACCTTTTGTGTCTGATGCTGGTGGGGAACACCAGGTATCGGGCGTTGCTATGCATCAATGATAACGCATTTCAGGGACGGAAAAGGTTTTCTTATGATAGTCTTGGGAGCCCCGACGAAGGCGTTGCTGAGAAAACAAAAATGGCTTTACTTCTAGACGGCCACGATCGATAGTACATAGGCGGACGCGAATCGGAATAGATACCTAGGTTTTAGGCCAGTCGTCATGTCCCCCTGTAAGGCGCTTAGACTCGCGGACATCGCGTCGGACGTCCTACTTCCACCTTGAGTGACAGCATGGAAGTTATCACTAGCTGGGAGGGAATATAATCGATGACGAGATCGGCAGAATCACCGGACCGTTCAACATGAGCCCCGTTGGAACAATTCGCCCCAGATTGTTCGGACGATCATGTGAGGGTGGCATGTCTTCTTTTTTCTATCTCAAATCTATGGTTCCCCTACTCAAACAAGTGTGTACCTGTCTACGGATATATGCACACAGCAAATATTATTACATTTCATCACCGCTAAACTGGTCTTCAAACACAGCCTGGACCAGTTGCTTCTTGTTAATTTTGCCCATGGCGTTTCGCGGGATATGGTCGACGACCTTGAGGACCTGCGGGATCTTGTAGTTGACAAGCCGATCTCGGAGGGCCCTGCGCATGGCCATGGGCGACCAACGCGGCACGACGTCCTTGTTGAGGATGACGACGGCGCCGACCTTGCTGCCCCACTTGCCCGACGGGACGGCGACGACTGCGGCCTCGGCCACCTCGGGGAGGGACAGCAGCTCGCGCTCGACCTCGAGGGCGCTGACCTTTTCACCGCCCGTCTTGATGATGTCAGCGCTCTTGCGGCCCTGGATGAAGTACATGTCGCCCTTGGCCCACGAGGCCTGCGCGGCGTTGAGCCCGGCGCCCTCGACGCGGCGGCGCACGGCCACGTCGCCCGTCTTGAACCACTTGCCGCGGCCGTCCTCGCCCTCGACGAACTCCTTGGCGGTGGCCTCGGGGTTGCGCCAGTACTCTCTGAAGATTGTGGGGCCGCGGAGCTGGATCTCGCCGGAGCGCTCGCGGCCGGTGGCGGGGTCGACGTCCTCGCCCGGGGGGATGACGGCGCCGGTGTCCATGTCGACGAGGCGGGCCTCGACGCCGGGCAGGGGCCAGCCGACGCTGCCGTCGACGCGGTCGGCGAAGTCGAGGCCGCAGGAGAGGGCCATGCCGACCTCGGTCATGCCGTAGCGCTCGAGCAGGACGTTGCCCTTGCTGAGGGTCTTCCAGGCCTCTTTGATCGGGGTCGGCAGGGCGGCGGACCCGGAGATGGCGAGGCGCATGTGTTTCGGGGAGACGGCCTCGCGGGTGGGCTCTTCGGGGTCGAGGGGGAGGGTCTTGTGGGTGGCAATGAGGCGTGAGTAGACCGTTGGCACGACGGTGAAGAAGGTGATTTTCTCCCTGGGGGGTGGTGCGTGGCTTCCGTTGACGCCATTGGTACCATTGGTCCCGTTTGTACCGTTTGAGGTTATGAAGGGGGCGGCGAGGCGCTTCCAGACGGCGTCGGCGTTGAATGGGAACATGAACTCGATCGTGGAGCCGGCGAGGAGGGGCGTGAGGACGGCGTTGACTGTGCCGTGGATGTGGTGGAGGGGCAAGACGTGCAGGAGGTGGTCTGCCGGGGTGTAGTTCCACGCCTCGATGAGGGACTTGGACTGCGCCGTCAGGACGGACTGCGGGAGCAAGACGCCTTTCTAAGTCGGGTATGTTAGCCTTTTGCTTGATATCAAGACCCAATGGCTCTTCCTGCGTACCGGTCTGTTGGTGGTTCCCGAGGTGTAGAGCATCATGCCCGCACCGCCGGCGTCGGGGCTGCCCAGCTCAACCTGCTCGTGCGGGGCGCCGCCATGGTGTTTCTCGAGCTCGAGCTGCGCAGGCTTCGAGACGAGCTCTGTTGCGAGGACCTCCTTCGCCTTGGCGGCGAACTTGGCCGAGGACACCAGGAGCGAGGCTTCGCTCTGGTTGAGGATGTATTGGAGCTCGGCCGCGGGGAAGGCCGGCGAGAGGGGGACGGCGATGGATTGGGCTGCGAAGGCGGCGAGAAGGGTCACTGCGGAGAATCGCATAGAGTGTCAGGAGCAATGTTCGCATTTAGGTTTACTTTGGTCAAGGAGGGGTCTGGCAGCTATTGCGATCTCTTGGCTTACCTACATAGTCGTAGCTGTTCTCCACCAGGAACGCAATGCGCTCGCCGTTGAGGTCTGGCTTGCCGGACAACTCGAGCAGCTGGTTCCGCGCGCGGCGCACATCGCCGAGCAGCTCTCCGTACTTGAAGCGGCGGCCTGAGAGGGAGTGAACGACGGCGGTGGACTCGGGGTCGTGGCGGGAGATGGCTTCGAAGAGGGGCAGCCTCGGGAGGGATGTCGTGGAAGCCATTCTGAGGGATTGCGAGGCGCGCGCAGCGGCAGCGAAGAATCGGGGTGTTGTGAGACGCGGGGGAAGGTTGTTGTAGGTTGCGGACGGTGCTCCGGCGGCGATGACGGCGGCGGCGGCTGAGAACGGTGTTGTTGGCGATGCTCGGGAGCAGCAGCAGCAGCAACCGGGCCGTCGTGCTACATTCCGCAAACCGGAGGCCAACATGGGTGGGGGAAAGGGGAGGGGGATCAAGATTGATATGCGTCCGTTATCAATTGCGTTATGATTAAGGGATCGGAGGCCGGAGTGGATATTGGGGGGGACGGACCCCGTCGATGTGGTAGGTAAGGCAAGGTAGTGTTGCTCTCGGGAGTCGGGTTAGGTAGGTGAGAGTGCAGTGCAGTGCAGTGCAGTCTGCAGCGTCGTGGTGTATGCCGTCGGATCTTTTTTTTTTTTTTTTTTTTTTTTTTTTTCNTTTTTTTTTTTTTTTTTTTTTTTTTTTTTTTGCCTTCCTGTGCTGTACTGGTAGCAGTGGTAGGTAGTGGTGGTGGGTGGTCTGTGGCGGCGCTGTCAGGTCCCGGATCGGACTTCTCCCTGCAGAACCGCCGGCTGGATCTGCCGAAGACCGGACGGAAAACTGTGGCTTGCTTAGCGGGGCGTCGAGAAGCTTGGAGCACTTTGAGGTGGTGTGGTTGGTCTGTGATGCGGTAACGGTTCTCTGAAGGACAGTGGGAGTCGGGGGTCTGCATGCGCCGCGGGTACAGTGTGGTGTCCGGCGCAGGTTGTGGTCCACGGAGGCCGTGATGGCGGCTGCTGTGACTTCCATGTTGGTGCAGGACCGTGGTGAGGTGAGGTGAGGTGGGTGGAGATGTCCACCTTTCCAAGTTCATCCAATGTCGTGGGACGCGGGCAGGGTATGAATGAAGATGGGATAATCAGATGGTCCAGTCCAATCTCTACACCAGGACGGACGGTGGGCAGCAAACACCATCGTCACATCCATGGAAACAGTCAACACTACTGCTACTACATCACCGCAGCACGCCGAGCGTTGAGAAACGTTAGTGGGGACCGTTTGAGGCGGCGGACCTTTGGGATGAGGTGCCTATCCGTCCCTCCATCGCGTAGCGTCCCATAGGGTTCCATTCTGTAGCTCAAGAGGGACGAGACGGACAGAAATGGGGGTGAAGTTGAGAAGAAGATGAAGGACAAGACAAGACGTGTGCCTCTGTGCGCATGTCGGCTACGCATCCGTACATCTCGATGCTGCCCATCTCTCCTGTCGACTCACCTTCCTCACCGTCGGTTCTTCGGCTCGCTCTGCTCATGTGAGGCCGTTGCTGCTGCTGCTGCTGCTGCTGCTGCTGCTGCTGCTGCTGCTGCTGCTGCTGCTGCTTTCTCATGCTTGATGCTTGCTACATCCTGCTTGCTGCGCTTCTTCTGCTTCTGCCGCTGCAAAACGGCGCCGCAATCACACGTCACCACCGCACTTTCACTCCTGGACTCTTGGAGTTCCATGCAAGGCCCACATCGTCCTATTTAGAAGCTCAGTTGTTCTCCGCCCTCGTGCATTGGCGACATTGTGAATCAACAACAGATAGAAAGTCTGGGACGGCCGACGGGGGCGTTTGGGCCTTGCCTTGGGAAGTGAAGGGAAAGCAGATATCTGGACACGCCTTTTTTTGTGATCAGGTGCCAATGGTGCCTTGCGCTAAAGCGGAGCTGTGCTGTGGTGCCCGCAAGGCCTCGTGCTCGCAGTTGTCAGAGGAAGGGATGCGCGGTGACGGTGACGGTGACGAGGGGACGGTGACGGGGGTTGGGAAACACGCGGTGAGCGTTTCTCTGCGTGCGTCCTCTGCCGCCAGCGAGTGAGTGACTCCTCTGAGCTTTCTACCAGAGGACACTAGCCTCTCCCACTCCGCGCGGGCGGTATGCAGCCCATGCTGTGGACGGTCAACAAATGTTCGAGATGGTCACCGCGTTGGACCCCCCGGCTCGTTTCTGTCCAACGTCTTCCAATGGCTTTCTAGCCTTCTTCCAGCCCGGCCCACCGCGCGCACTAAAATCGTAAATGTGACTCCTCATCATCCCTTTACCGTCCATTGGGATGTGACGGGACCGGCATGGGGAGGACACACCACGGGTTTTGACAGGGGGGGCAGATGGTCCGTGGAAAGAAGCAAAGAAGAAGGGCGGTGGACATAACAGCGAACCAGAATCCAATGCAAAAGCAAAGCTAACCACCTCACCTCACACTCACACGAGGAAGGCCTGGCGCCAGGCCTGGGGTGTGTACTATGGTAGGCAAGAAGCTGAACCCAAAGGTGTCAGCCAAGCGGCGGGAACACGGGGAGAAGGGGGCGGAAAAAAAGGGAAAAAAAAAAGAAGGTGAACCATGGAAGGGCACCGCTTGGAGGGGCGACGGGCACACCTGGCACCATGGACCTGGTTGCAAAGAACAGCCCAACCCAACCCGTGGGCCCGGCCAGCGAAGCCGTAGAGAACCTGGAAACGCAACGCTCATCAGTGTGGATGATGGAGAGAGTCTGAGGTGATGTTTTCTGTAAAACAAACGCCCCCCGTGCCTCTCCTCCCCGGCCGCCGCTCCCTTGTCTTCCCTGGGCTCTGGAAAGACTGGAGGTGAGTTCCCTGGGAGTGGGGCCCGCCGGTTACCAACCGGAAGGACAGAGGCACGCTTCCCGGCCCGCTGATTGGCCGGCATCCCGGTGCCATGTTGCCTGCCAAGGCCATCCCGCATGCCGCTCTTTTCTCACCGACACACCGAAACTTCTTCTGGACCCCTCACCCCCCGTCCCGGGGTGTTTGACGAAAATCTGTTGCCGCACCTCTCTAATTTTTTTTCTCCTCCCATACACGCACACGCACGCACACAACAACAACCTTGCAACCGTACCTGAAGCCTTACCGCACATTCGGTCTACGCTACACACTCCACGTCCATCCTCTCCGTCGCCTCTTGCTCCCCGTACCCGTACCAGTCCACACCGCGCCCTCCGTACCTAAATCGAAAAAAGCTGTTGGGCTAGCAAATCCCTATCCAGTACACGCGCGCAACTTTGCTTATTCCCTGTCCTTGTCTTGTCTGTTCCTGGCCTTGCTTGCCTGCTCGATTGCTTGCTTGCTTGCTTGCCGTGACCTTGACCTCCGCCGCCGTGTCTCCATCCACTCTTTCACCACGCACTCTCTCCAAGGTACGCCAGGACACCTTGCTCACCTCCTTTTTGCGACACACGCCTTCATACTACTTCAAGTCCCTCCCTCTTCTCTCCTTCTTTTCTCCTTTCCCCTCTCTTCTTATTCCCCATGAACACATTCCGCCCCTTCGTCGGCAGGATTGGGAGTTTGACCGGAGGATTCACTACAACACCAACAACACTACACATACCAAAGACCTACACTCAAATACCGATACCAATGTTGCGCAGATACGCCCTCGGTTTCTCGGCTAACGCCAGACCGCCAAACATGTCGTCCACCACTCCCATCGAGGACACAATTCGCGCCAAGGTACGAATGTTTCCCCCTCCAAGTCGACGAGACGCAAGCGTTTGCTAACATGCTCCCAAAAGGTCACCGCCGCTCTTTCCCCCTCCACCCTCGAAATCTACAACGACTCCCACCTCCACAGCCACCACAAGGCCATGCAAGGCCAGACCTCCAAGGAGACACACTTCAGGTGAGCATCCCCCGTGAGGCTTGTAGCAATGGGCTTCCTTTTACTTACACCAATGGCCTCCCAGACTCGTCATTGTTTCCGACGCCTTCGGCACCAAGATGCAATCCGCCCGCCACCGCATGATCTACGCCCTCCTCCGCGAGGAGATGTCCCGCGAGGGCGGCATCCACGCCCTCCAGCTCAAGACCCTGACGCCGGAAGAGGAGGAGAAGCAGAGAGAGGCAAAGGCGGCCAAGGCCGCCGCCAAGCAGGCCGAGGCCGAGGCCCAGTCGTCCGACGACTCTACTTGAACAAAGAGGGAAAAAACAACGACGACGAAGATGAGATGACTTTTTTAAACCAAACCACGGCAACGAACAAAAACGAATACCAAATATCGATATGAGAGAAACGAACGACCACACAAGTTGGGAGAAGACGAATGACGGGGCAAAACCAATGGGAAAATTTTGACACCACTGGGCATTTTTTTGGTGTAAACTGTAAAACGGAGTCATGCTTGCTTGCTGCGACGAAATCACACAACTTTTTTACGAACGAATCGGATAACGAACGCCAATTTGTAACGGGATTATCGACTTTGGCAAATGTTTTCTACAAGGGGCATTTAGATACCTTCAAGACTCTTCAGAGAGCCGGTCGCGCGAAAAGCACCACTAGATCCAGTCTAGACAGATTGATTGCCTGAGAAATTCAGAGTTGACTTTTGCTTTCAGAGTAACATAACTGAGTCCGCACCATTATAGTCTAATATAACTCTATAAGTATCACAAACTTGGGGTATCATACATGTGTAGCACTGAAGACATTCTCCTCTTGCCCACGCCGCGTGAAGCACCAAACAGCTTCATCCCAAGTAACGTGGACAGAACCAAATCCCACCTAACGTCACCTTCATGTGAATCGTCGGGCATCAGACAAGCTGCGTGTTCCTGGAACACCCTCCGCAGGCAGCTTAAGCATCCCCGCCTTTAGGCGCAGGAGTGGATCCAGGAAGACGTCCCTGCTTGAAAAGTTTCGCGATCTTTCTTCTGTACGCCTCCTGTTTTTCCTTCTCCGTTTTCTTCGGCTTCTTGACTCGTGCGTCTTGGGTAGAAGCGGAGAGGGTACTCCGTGCCGGGCTGCTAACCGCAGGACGCGAAGGAGGGCCGAAATCGAATGAAGCGGGTAGAGTTCGACGCACGGCAGTCTTCCCCGCTCCCGATGTCACTTTGTTTCCAGGAAAGGCGGCCGCGGTCTTCGGTGCTGGCGGTGGCGTCTCTGCAATGGTTCCAGTCCGCCGTCTCTCTGACAAGGTCCCATTCGCTTGGTTGATGGCGGGGACCTTCTGTGGAGTAGACCGATCAAGAGGGGAAGCACGATGGACCGTTGGGCTCTCATGCTTGATAATCTTCTCTGTACTCGCCGCTTGGACTGATGCAGGACGAGATCGCGGGTGACTCGAAACGAAAACCAGATCATCATCTGCTGAAGCAGGCGACTTTTGGCGTCGCAGCGTTGGTGTGATTGGAGAGACACGGCGCGGAGGTTCCTCGTCTGCCATTCGTTGTTTGTCTTTGTCTTGTCGGCTGGGGTTCAGCTTCGGCTTGGGCAGAGAGGCTTCGTCTCTGGAATCAGGCTGCTCTCTAATCATGGGAGCCCGAACGACCTCTGATGCAGCTTGCACCTCCCGAGGCGAACGTAAACCTTCAGCAGGCGAGCAGAGGGCCATAGTGCCAGAGGCGTTGGGAGGTTCCATCGTGTCATCCTTCGGTATACTGGCCACTGGCAACGTCGGCGAAGCGTGTTTGCTCGGCATCGAGACATTCACGGCCGGCCTCTGCGGTGTTTCAAGAACAATTGGCGAGGACGAGATCCCATCCAACAGCCATTTCTTGGCTTCTCCGACCTCTTCGGAGTAGATCTCGAAGATTCGATCCAGATTATCGGCCGTTACCACATCTTTCTGATAGACGGGCCGATCAACATTGGCCACGTACCATCTTATGGCTGACATTGGCTTTGCAATAGAGGACGACTTATCTACTTCATCCATATATGAAGTGTAACCGTCCACGAATGCCCGGATGAAGTCATCGTACAGCCATTTGGGAAGCTGATGCTTGCGCTGAAGTCCCTTGACCACAATGCACGCTCTGACAAAATCGGCAACACTCCCTGTGAAAGACGGGTATGCGTTCTGAAAAGCCTTTGCGGGTTGTTGCGAGAACCATTCCAAGGTTTCCTCTCTTGGAGGATGCGATGACTCAGCGAAATCCGGCAACATGTTGCTGCCGTTTTCTGCGTTCTCCACAGCCGCTTCGTCTCTGACGGGAGCTGCGACTGCAGAAGGCTCGACAGTCGGTTGGCGTCGTGGCGCAATGGGGTCGATTCGCGCAGCTCTTCTCTCTCTTGCCAGTCGTGAAGCCTTCGCTAAAGGCTCAAGAGCTTCGTGATTCAGATCTTCAGGAAAGGAGAGCTTTCCATTCGATTGCCTGGAGATTGTGCGGTAGAGGCAGCCGTCGGGCTCAGCCCATAGACTCAAAAGATCAATTCCTCCGTCAATGGCCAGCTTGGTGATATTCTGCAACGTCTTGAGACTGCTGAAGGAAAGAGTGGATCGATACTCCTGCAAAGGCGGCGGAAGCCAGTCGGACTCCACCCAATTGTCATTCAACCACTGGATGAGTTCCCGTTTGTCATCTGCCTTCTTCCAACGCATGGGATCGTCCATACTCACGCGTAGCACTGGCTTTTTCATGCCAATGGTCTCCTTTTCAGCATCTTCTTCCATGATCATGGGATCCCGTTCCTCTGCAATTGTTGCCCTCTGCTCGTCTGTGATTGTGGCTGCCGGGAGATCTGTGCCTGACTTCGAACCCGAAGGTCCTGCTTGTGAAGCCAAGAAATACTCAACTTCTGGAACGCGGGCGAGGGTTCTGGGAGCACCCGGGGTATCGTGAACAACTTGGGGCGCTTGAAAGGACTGGTGGGAGTCGGCCGCGTATGTCGAAGCAATGCAGGGGCCTGATGATACCGGTACACGATTCTCTCGGGGCTGAGAAAGCGGAATTGTAGGCAACTCATCTGGCGTTGCTTCGAGTGGGCGATCAGCAGTGGATGCCCCGGGAGAGGAATCGAAGGTAATAAGTTTCATGTTTCGCCTCTCCTTAGGAGTCGATGATTTGAAAGTCATTCGCCCGTCATTATAACTTGATGGAACCATGCTTCCTTGCCCGCACGGGGGGCTGGTGGCAGCTTCAGACCTTGTCAATAGATGGGCTGCGATTCGATTAATAGGCGGTGTTGCTTGAAAAAGTGCGTTCGGAATGGCTGTCTCCAGTTCGTCTTCGAACCCGCCGCTGCTGGATGGGAATTCCTCAATACGGCGGCGCTTCAAAGTTGGCTGAGGAAAGTTGGCTGGTGGATCGAAGCGTTTGGGGGTACGTATGCTTGGCGATGAAAACTGGGGAGGACTGCTTGGGAGGTTTGCCGTCGCTGCTGTGGCGGGAAGCTGACTTTCGATTCCGATTTGAGACTTGATGGAAAGGGTCGGAGATGCAGGCTGGTTAGCTGAATGTCGAGGGCGTTCTGGGGATGAAGGCCAGGAGACCGGGGTTCCTGGAGGAGAGGAAGAAGACGAAGAGGATTGCCCATGGTCAGAGAAGTTGTGAACAACAGCTGGTCTTGCTTTTCCCGTCGGGGAAGGCACACTCGAGACAGGTGCTCTTGGCTTCTGTGCTGGAGGTGGAAGGGTACGGGCTGCGTGGAATTCTCTGAGGCTCTCAAGGACGCCGGCAGGGAGGTTAGGTGGTCCATTGGTGTCTTTGTGAGATGTGAACCAGGAGTCAGGTCTGTCAAGGAGCTTTTGCTGGTCCTTGGGCACCTTTGCAAGGTTCCGGCGGATGGTGTTACCTTCACTCAGAAGTGCTTTGAAGGACTGAGGCGCGGAAGAGCCCGGACTGCCTCCCAGACCAGTCATTGTGACAATGGATGTGATCTGAGTCGGTGGGAGAAAAAAAGTGTGCCGATTGGCATCTGTGCTGCAAGTGTAGATCGCCTCACTTCGGCGCAAGTGCCTAGGTTGATGCTGGTGAGGGTGAGGGAAATGATCAAGAGGAAGGTCAACAAGTGGGAAATTTGTTGACTTCGGGGACCTGGGCTGGAAATGGATGGATGTGGTCAGCAGTGAAAGTCACCAAACCAACCCTCAACCTGAGGTGGCCCAGAGAGGTGTCACTGCAAATCGTTACCCCGTGGACGATGGGACTTGAAGAGCTGGGCGGGTGGGAAGCTTGCTGGAGGTGACGCGCCGGAAACGCGTTTTTTGGTGTCGACCCTTAAAATCCCATGTTTCCAGCGTGCACCTAACTGAGGTCACATAGCGACATGCCTGGCACTGCGGGGTCCTGGCTGACAGCCCGCCTTGGGGACGTGGGGCAGCACTGATTAGGTAGAACTTGGTCCGAGCTCTGGAATCTAGGGAAGACACCAAAAGACACCACGGCATCTGGATCAAGCTGCGCAGTTCCAGAGGCAGAGGCAGAGTACGTACCGTTCAGAGGTGGGTCGCAATGGCCGGTGCAGTGTCGGAACGGGTACCGGGTACATCCACATGCACTGCTACTACCGCTGCAACGGCTCTTGATCCGTCCACGAATGCCCCCCAAACATCCCCAAAGCCAACCGTTTCAAGGCATCACTCTTGGTAAGCCTGGCTGTACAGCGCAGACCTTGTATCTTGGACTTACCGACCGCCAACTGCCAACTGCACCACCAGCTTCGTCATCCCCGTTTGACGATTCCACCAACTTGGCAGCCGCTGGGCCACCCGGGCCTAGACCTTGATGGGATAGTGCTTGCTGGCTCACGGATGGTCCGTCTCTAAAAAGAACCCGGTGCCGACTTGAAGACATTAGCTCCCACTGCAGACTACCTAAGCGTGCTAGGCATACATACCTACCTTAGACGACACACCACACCCTTTTCTCCTTCATCGCCCTACCTACACAACTACCGAAAGCCTGACCTACACCTTCGCCACGTCGTTTCTCCTCCTCGTCACCTGCGCCCCTCCTTGGACCCTTGATCTCGCCCGAGACCACCGACCCTGTCGAGACGATCTGATACTTCTCATAAACACCACGAACACGAGAGCCTCCTTCAACCGACTCTCCGCTGCCGAACGCGTCTCTTTCATCCGGCGCATTGCGAATACACACTGTACGACTCGGGCAGGGGTAGACGACGAGGAGAAGGACTGGCGTTGGAAGCTTCTCGCGACACCGCATTTTCTCTTCGCCGTTATGTCACTTTGAGGCCTGGCTACGCATATACTGCCTCCGATGTCGTAGCGACCCCCACGAATCCTCCATAGCCTAGCTGTTCTGTCTGCCTCCGCGCAAGATGGCCAGCAACACCACCCCAAAAGCGAACTCTCCCGCGGTCCTCTCGACGCCTCCGGGCTTTAGGAGCCGCCATGACTCCATCAACTCAATATCTACCGCCTCGCAGGCCGATAAAGACCAGCTGGCCCATACTCTGAACCGGATACATACGTCAGCGAGCCAGTCTGACTCTTTGACGACTTTCAACGATTTCGCCCCGCCTCCCGCCGCCTCTCTTCCCGCGACGGAAACCAAGGCGCTGACTGGTGAGCTGGTTCAGAACGGGCTCAGTGGTCTGTATAGTCGCCTGAAAGAGGCCGTCGGTGCCGTTGGAGCAAGGGCACAAGATACGGATGATGCCGACAGTTTCGACGCCGCGTCGAAGCGTAGTACTAGCACGGTCACCTCGACCAAGACTCCGGCTGCCTCCCTTGCCCGCGTCGAGAGTGCTGTCACAAGCTCTTCTTTCAACTCTAATGATGGGCCCATGACGGCGACGACCTCTTCGGGAGTAAATACCGCCATGTCGGACAGCCAGTCTCAGCCCCCTCAGTCCTCCAAGGCAACCTCCATATCTGCCATGACAGCATCCAAGTCAAGCACCTCAAGTCGACAAAGTATGCCCAGTGTCGCCAAAGCGTCAGCAGTTACGGCTATCAATCCGGAGGTCGCGCCCGCCACGGCGACAAGAAGCCTGCCGCTCGCAGAAGACGGCCCTAGTCGGTCATCTGGCAGGCGCAGTATCAGCAAGCCTGATCCTCGACCACTTGTCATAGGCTCCGACAGCTCCCATAAGTTTGACGTTCTCGAGCCCAAGCCAACCGCCGCCATAGACCGAAGCCATGCAAGCTCCCGGCTGGTAGGCGTTGATGGACCTGCCGAAAAGCCTCTGAGCCCTATCAAGGCCAACGCTCCGCCGCTACCTAAGTTGCAAACGACGGACCCTCGATCACCAGTGTCTTCGGCTGCATCTATGCTTATCGCGCCTAAGCGACCTGCGGTTATTGATCGTATCAGCCGCTCAAGATCGCCAGGGTATGCGCCTTCGAGATCATCGTCTATGGAGCATGTCACAGCGGAGCCAAGCCCAATCAGCACCTCAGCACACGATTCAGTGTATCATGACTCTTTCGCTCACGACTCCCAACCGAAGCATGGAAGGACTGGGGTACTCAGAATTCCTGGGACAACGACTAACGAGGGCGCGCCAGAGCAAGTCAATGCCAGGCTCGATCGTATGCGGCGACAAGTGCTGAGCAAGGAATTCTGGATGGCGGACGAAACATGCAAAGAGTGCTTCATCTGTGGCCAGCCGTTCTCGGCATTCAGGCGGAAACACCATTGCAGAACCTGTGGCTGCATCTTCGACTCCAAGTGCACTTCCATCATTCCAGCCTCAAAGTTTGGAATGACTGGCACTCTGCGAGTATGTAAAACATGCCTGAAAGTCATCAACCAGCGGCTTTACGAAGGAAGCGGCTCTGAAGACTCTGGTGATGACTCGTTTCTGCCGGCTATTTTTCGACAAACCAAGGCGACCCCCAAGGTCACGCAAGCCGAGGCTGAAGTCGAAGAGCCTAGTTTTGCGGACAGGATGGAGGGCTTGAACGACGCCAGGTCTGTTCAGACCCCAATGATGGCCATTCCTGCCACCAGACGAATCAACGACTCGAATAGGAACTCTGCCATTCTTGAGATTGATGCGCCGCAACTAAGTCGTCCGAGCTCGTCTCGTTCACTCAGATCTCTGACCTCCGCGAACCGTCCGCAGTCGTCAGGCCACAAGCGACATCACTCAAAACATCACAATAACTTCCTGGCACGCTTTAAACCAATGCCAGCGCCAGATGTTAACAGCGCCCCCTTTCGCAAAGGCATTACCGACGAAATGACCAAGAAACCAAAGTACCCGGCGTTTCATGATGACAATATCATCGACCCAGAGTTGGCCGCCTACATGTCCGATGAGTCCAGTGGTGACGAGCAGATGAGCATATTTGCTACAATGTCAAGTGCTGATCTGCAGCCGTCAAGTTACGACCACGAGAAGTCCAGCTTTGGCCCATTCTTGAGCGCGGGAAGGAGACACAGACTCGGCCGAGGAGAAAAAAGTGTCAGTGGCTTGAGTTTCACGAGTCGAGGAATGGATGACAACGCCGGCTCTGGTAGCCTCATTGGCCATGGTCGGCCGGCAAGGAGACGCAATCTTAGCAACGTGAGCCATCAAATGCGATCTCCACGTCCGAAATCTGGAATATTCAAAGGACCCTCGGCATCTAACGAAAACGTCTTCACTATCGAGAATCCGGCCATAGAAGCTACTAAGCTGACCAGGAGCGACTCCATGCAAGACGACAAGCAGCCGCAGGTGGAGTTGAACCCGTCGAGCATGCTCCATGTGAAGAAACTCCTGCATCAGTTGCTCGAAGATTCGGGAATTCCCAACGTACCCGCTTGGGAAAGGGCTCTAGTTCCGATCTTGCTTCAATGTACGGATGACGTTACGCCCGACATCAGGGCTGGCGACGATATGGACATCCGCCATTACGTCAAACTCAAGAAGATTCCGGGGGGCAAGCCAGGCGACACCAGCTACGTCTCCGGCGTCATTTTCACCAAGAACCTCGCCCTCAAGAGCATGCCTCGCCGCATCATCAACCCACGCATTGTCATCGTGTCGTTCCCTATTGAATACCAGAGGCACCAACAGCATTTCATGAGCCTCCAGCCAGTCATCGAACAGGAAAAAGAGTTCTTACGAATCGTCGTCAATCGCATTATCAATTTGCGCCCTCAGCTACTGCTCTGCGAAAAATCTGTTTCTGGCGTTGCTTTACAGTATCTTTCTGAGGCTAACATCGCGGTTGCGTACAACGTGAAACCGTCGGTGATTGAAGCCGTATCACGGTGTGCGGAAACAGACATCATTTCTTCGCTCGACATGCTGGCCTTGCAGGTGCAGGTTGGAAGGTCTGGCGGCTTCGAGGTGAAAACCTACGTCAACAAGAGTTATCCGGGCAAGAAGAAAACATACATCTTTTTGTCGGGCTGCTCCGAGAAGCTTGGTTGCACCATCGCCCTCCGTGGGGACTCTACTGAAGTCTTGTCGAAGATGAAGAAGATCACAGAGTTCATGGTCTACGTCGTCTACAACTTGAAGCTGGAAACATGCTTGATGCGAGATGAGTATATCCAGCTGCCCGCAGAGATCGATGAAGCATCTTCATTGGCATCGTCCCTTCGTCAACCTCCGGAGGATGCCCCGCGATCTCTAAGCGCGTCCATTGAGAGCGCTAAGCAGGATGCCGCAGTTGCCAGCACGTCGACCCCCGAGCTGCCTTCCCAGACCAGTAACGGCACTTCAATGGTCACCGTCGAAGGCACCGTGTCAACCGAACAGACCGAGGAGCCACCCGTGGAAGAGAGGCCCCCTCTTGTGTCCTTGCACGCATCTCACGTCCCGCCTACGTCCCCCGAATCTCAAGTGCCCGAAGACGTGCCGATGCCAACGTACTACAGCGACATGGTTGCTAGATATGAGACGAAGATTCTTTCTGCTTCTCCATTTGTGAAATTTGCACAACCTTATCTGCTC